ATCACCATAAATGTCCTGTTAGTCTTTTGGAAGGGCTGTCTTCTGGGAGTGGCCTTTGTACTACTCTCACTAGAATCATCCTGAACTGGAGTTGTGCAGAGAAGATGGAAGGGAGAAAAGCTCTTTGCTAAGACGCCCAATCTAGAAGACAGTTACAACCGTACCCAGGGATCCACATGTTCATATGGAGAGACACTGGGTTTTTTGTGCACAAAGTTCATCCCACAGCATCTGAACTTTATAAATGTCCTAAAGGAGAACATTTGGTTAAAAGTAGAGCTTCATTGATTGACAGTTCTTGAACACAGAACTGTTAAACTGTGTCTGGGCAATGTGAGTTAGTTAATTCATGTTGCCAGGCTGACTGGAGCCGCAGAGGGATGTTCACAGAGTGTGTGTGAGCTCTGCAGTGTTGTGTTGAGATTGACATCCCGAGAACCTCTGCCGTAGGTTCATCTCCAGTACTCCATAGGTATACATCTATTGAGCAGGAATACAACTTCCTCACATTTTAGTATATAGAACTGAAGATAAACTTAGGAATGCTGTACTTAGTTGGTCTGTTGCTTTGTTTTTCTTTGTAAGTGGAACATTGAGAATGTAGAATTGTAATTGTAACTTAGCCAGTCCTTCTAGCTAGAGGCCGGTTGCCATTTTTGTCTTCTATGACATTTTTTTGTTGCCAAAGAAGACAGGATCGCAATTTTGTCTGACAGACTGAGATAGTCTGGTGTATTCTTTGTTATCAAAAACTCCTGTAGTGTGGGGTTTTTAGTTGGTGAATATTAGCAATGTGGGGGAAAGCATGGTGCATACTGTATAATCTCAACTACCTAAATATATGTACATATGCAGGATCTAGTTGAGCTGCTTGTGACTGGGTAACTTTGTTCTTGGTTTCTTGTGTTTTGTCTCCTGTAGTGTGATGGGGGAAGTCCTTCTGTATATATATTTCTCTTATTTGTTGATGAATAAAACACTGTTGGCCAATAAGGCAGGAAGATGGTGGGACTAGGAGACAAGGAGAATTATTGGAAAGGTAGGCAGGGGAGCCCATCAGAAACAGTCTCCATGTAGGCTGCTAAAGCAGTAACAGGTCTGAACCTTTCTCTGGTAAGATAAGACCATGTGGAAATACTTAGATTAATAGATATGGGTTAATAATTAATACAGAGCTAGCCAATAAGAAGCCCTAGTCATTGGCCAATAGTTTTATAATTAATATAAGTCTCTGTGTGCTCATTTGGGGCTGAAGTGGCAGTGGGGCCTGGCGGGACCCAAAGAAAATCAAATAACAGTAATGTGCATACTAAAATATAACAGCTTCTTTTAAAATATGAAAAATGCAAAGATTCATTAGGAAAAAATATACTGTAAACTTACTTACAACCCCCTTTAAAATGGAAAATCAGAAAGAAATGGATAAATCCCTAAACTCATTTGATCTCCTGATATTAAATCAAGAATATAAAAACAGTTTAAATAGATCTATAATAAGCAAGCAAATAATTAAATGTCACAACATAAAGGGAATGACAGGATCAGAGGGATTCACTGTTTCTTACCTTCAGAAAACTTTTTTAAAAAGAGCCAAGACCAATGCTTCTCAAAACTGTTTGACAAGAATTAGCCTTCTTCCTTATCTTCTTCCTGATATAATCCCAGTTGGTCAGCCCAAAACACATATGAGTATCTCCAAATGAACTTAGCAGCACATATATGTAGCAATAATAACTAAAGAAAAGTATGTTGGGGTTGGAGAGTTGGCTCAGAGGTTAAGAGCACTGGCTGTTCTTCCAGAGGTCCTGAGTTCAATTTCCAGAAATTACATGGTGTCTTACAACCATCTGTAATGAAACCTACTGCCCTGTTCTGGGATACAAGCAGGAAGAACGGTATACATAAAAAAATAAGATGTCATAAATGGAAAGATTGGAAAGGAAGGGAGTAATGGAAATATAGTACTCACACATGAAATTCAGAGAAATTAAAATTAAAAAGTAAGTACAAATTAAAAAATAACAATTGTACCAAAAATAGAAAGGGAAGGAACACTCTTGAACAAATTCTTTAAAGCCAGTATTACTCTAAAACTGAAGTTGGATAAAGTTACAACAAAACAACAAAGCTATAACCCAGTTTCCCTGATGAATACAGATGAAGAGCTCCAAAATAAAGTATCTGGAAACTGAACTCGTGGACACATTATGATTGTACTTTTCCAATATGCTGGGCTCATCCTGTAGATACAAAGTTGGTTCAATGCACAACAATCAATCAATGTAGTAAACACATAAATAGACTTAATGGCAAAAATCACATGACCATATTATCAGTAGATGCAGGAAGACATTTGACGAAATTCAACATGATGAAACTTCTAAAGGAATTAGTGTTCTTGAAATACACTGCAGTATTGTAAAGGCTACATATTCCTTACAACAAAACCACAGCCAACATTATACTAGATAGGCAATATTGAGAGACATTCCTTTGAGACGTGGGAGAAGACATGTGCCCACACTCTCCACTCTTATTTAATAAAGTGACCCAACCCTTACCTAGATAATAAAAGACTTATATAAAAAGAGATGTAAAGAGGAAAGGAAAGGAAAAGTGTAAATTACACCTGTAGATGACATGATCATTTCGTTAAAAGAACCTGGAGATGCCACCAAAGACCTCTAACACCTGATAGTCACTTTCAGCTAAGTAGGATACAAAGTCATTATACAATAATCAATAACTTTTCTACAAATCAATAATTCATTTTCAATGAAGGAATTAGAATGAACACCTCATTAAAATTAACAATAACAACAGCCAAAACTGAAACAAAAAAATCAAAGAATTAAGAATTTATCTCACTGTAAACTTATTGCTTAAAAAGGACAATGGATACATTTGGTCCCTAGAACCTAATAAGTAAATAAATGAATAAAATAAAAACATGAATAAATAAAGAAATAAGTATAAAAAGCCAGAAACCTAGGTATAAACCTAGCAATGGGAGATGAGTAAAGTGATATCCTTAAGGCACTGAAAAAAGAAACTGAAGAGGATACTAGATGGCTGAAATACCTTCAGTACCCATGGATAGACAGAGTATTGTGAAAATTGCTATAGTACAGAAAATAATCTACAGAGTCAATATATTCTCCAGTGGCATTATTCACAGAATTATAGAGCAATCCTCAAGTTAATAGACAAAACACTTCTAATATACAATGTGATCCAACACAGAAAGCAATGCTGGAGCTATCAGAAATCCTAACCTCAAATTATAACTGCAGCCATGGTGAGGGCAATGTTCTGGCATAAACCAGATCTGCAGAGCAATGGAGAAGAGCGGAGAACTTAGACATAAATCAATATAACTAAGGCCACCTGATTTTTGGCAAAGGTGTCAAAAATACACTGAAAAGAGCCTTCTCAGCAAATCCTGCTGTGAAAAATGGATATTTATATGGGACATAGATCCATCTATTTCATCCTGAACAAAATTTCACAATGGATAAAACACTTAGCCCAAGACCCCAAACTCTAAAATGTCTAGAGTAAAAGAGGGAAACAATTTATGATATAAGCACAAACTAAGGCTTCCTGAAAATAACTCCAGTAGAACAGAAAATAACCTCAAAAATAAATACATAGGACTATACGCAATTAGAATCTTCTGTACAGCAAAGCAAAAACTACCAAAATAAAAGATGGAATAGGAGAAAATCTCTCTCAATTATACATTAGACAAGGAATTGACGGGTGCGTGCATGGGTGCATGCGTGTGTGTGTGTGTGTGTGTGTATGATGTTATCACCTGTATATATAATGCAATGTATGCACACATGTGTATCAGCAGAAACTGAACACTAAGTGAACACTGTATCCTCCTGTTCTCAAGAGAAGAAACACAAATGACCAATAGATATTTGAAACAGTGCTCAATATCATTAGCCATGAGGGAAATGCTGATGAAAACTACTTTGATATTTTATCTCACCCCGTCAGAAGTTCCATCATCAAGAAAACAGAAGAAAATATCAGCAAGTAGGAAAACAGTAACCCTCTTTCTCTTCTGATGGAGATATAAACTAATGCCACCAATGTAGAAATTGGAAGGAAGGTTACTCAAATTTCTAAAGATAGAACTAACACAAGACATTGTTATGCTTTTCCTGGGTATATACACAGGACTGTACATCCTATCATAGAGACGATCGATAGCACTTCCGTGTTCATTTCCTGCGTATAAACTGTGAAGTATCTCCTCTTTCTTTTTTTCCTTGTTCCTTGAGTTTTGATTTGTTTCTTCTGAAAACTTGTTTCTTGCTCACTTCAGGAGACAAGGAGAACCTTGTTAATATTAGGGTAGTGAGTGTTCCTGGGGCTCTGGAGTGCAGGACAAGGATGGACTTGGAGAAAAACAGGACTGGGGACAGGTGGCCAATCAGAATCAGACAAAGTGAACAGGGCCAGAGAGCCCCTCCACAAGTTCTCCTCTGCCACTTCTGGAAGTCAAGATGCTAATGCCTCTCTTCAGGGCTGGTGTCTAGTGTGTGACTGTGGATTAACCCCACACAATTCTCACCATTGACAACTTTCTTTTGTAACCTCATTTAAAAAATAAATCTCTTCCTCCAGGGAAACCAAATGATATATCGATCATACTTCTTTATGAGTCGAATGTTTACCTTGATCATTTTATGTTTTCATAAAGGTTAGAATAAAATGTTCCAAAAAGGAGTGGGGATTAAGAATTTAAACCATTTGCACTAGATTCTGAAGTTGTGAGAATCAACTGGGTAAAAGAAGAGCCAACTAGAGGTATAGCTTTAAAGCTTAATTATCTAGAGGAAACTAACTCATGCGTTTGCAGACTATGCTAGTAATTTGAAAATTAAGGGAGTCATTATTCTAAGCAACGAAGAGAGTAAATTCTGACTCAGATAAAGGCTTCAATCTTTAGTTCTATAAGTGTGTTGTGGTTTTATATAACTTTTATGAAATATTTGTGTATTTAATATTAACTTTTATTGTAGTACCTCCTCTTAGAAACAATATTAAAAATCTTTTATATCATCATTATCCCTGGTTATATAAACTTATTGGAAAATATTTTGGTCATCAAGTACGGCACCAGGGTTAATTCAATCCTTAACTGCAAAGATTTGACAATAATTATGAGCAAATATCCAATTTATGTATTGAACAACAACATAATTTTTCACATAGTACATCAGGACAATGTAGATGTGATTATGGACTTCTCAGTAATATTTTACTTAAAACTACATAATTCAACCTTCACACTGGGAGACATAGAACCACATTGTTTTGATAAGAAATATATTCATGAAAACACAGTACAATCAGGCATAAAGGACTTTGAATGTATACTTGTTAAACAACTGACATGCTGATACATACATGGATACAATAATAGAAACACATTTCATGAAAAACCTAAATTTTCTAACTCCAAAGCCTGTAAAGAAAATTTAAAGAATAGAAATACGTGGCAAGTTGGGGAGTCTTTTGTTCCCCTTTTCAATAGCAGAAAACTGTAGAAAAACGTTCCCTTTGAACTTGGAGAACTGACAGTGCTTTGCGTGTTCCTGTTCTTTGTTTTCTGCTGTGCATGAAGTAATAGAATGGGTTGTAAATTAATATTTTTCTACTTATCTAATGACCCTCCCAAACCCCATTATTTTGCTTCCAGCAGTGTAAAAACTATTTGAAAATAATCTAATGGAATTTATGCTTTTGTTTCTTGAAATTACGTTCGTTGAAATGTTTCTAATTGTAAGGACTAGCCATGGCTTTTGAAATGCATTTGAGTTTTGTTTGATTTACAGCTAATGCAAACCTGATATTGTTACATTGTATCAAAGTGCTAATAGCCCTCATTTCAGTTATGATTAGTATTGTCTCTAGACACATTCATGCTGTCACTTATAAGCATAGTTACTATTCTTCCTGAACCAATGTGCACTGTGGTGAAACTGAGTATTACTGTGCCTAACACTTTTGTACTAAAGTTATCAATAGTTTATAACTACTTAATAATTCCACATTGTGGAAAATTTAGAAGTCACATTTTTTCTCTTCACAAACTTGGGATAATAACTAGCCCCAAATGAATGAACTCAAAACATCAAGGTTTTTATGATATTATAAAATTTCATAAGTCATTAATCTCCAATATATATTGGTAAAATTATCACACCATCCTTAATTGTGACAAAACTAATGACATTAACATCTCACATTGAAGGTTTGGAAAACAACAGTAGTAAAGGCAGATAATTGTCCAATGATCCGCATAACTCCGCTCCAAAATAAACTTTACACATAAAGTTTCTCATTTGTGTCATTAGCACACAATGAGGTAAGTAGTCAAGCACCCCAATAACATGGCTGTTTTGGGGCCTCCTCTTTTTTTAATCAATTGTCCTATGAAGGTCACCATATCAATCCAACTCACTCAGGATTCATAGGCCCTAATGTTGAGAAATAAATACATGTTTCATGATTCCTTTCCCAGAGTTTCATTTATGTACCAGTTTAATTCATCAGTTTTCTTCCAGGTCATAGTTACTCTTCAAAATGAACTGCTCCCGTAAAGCAGAAAGTTAGTAAATAAAATCGGCAATTGGGAAATTTTAGTAAATCTCAAGTCATCTAGGTCACTTATGAAGCACATAAGTGCCATAAAATCCATCCTCTTTAACTTCACACTAAGAACACAGTGGCATCTGTTTTGTAAACCATTATCTCTTTGAGGTGACAGGGGTGAGACTCCACATGGATACTCAGCCTCTTCTCTCAGACCTCCAGCCAGGACGACAGCAGTGAAGATGGTACTCCCTGTTGTAGATACCTGTGCAGTAAAAGACTTTATTTCACATGGGCTAATAAGTTGATGCTAGGAGACACCATTTAGAGCAGAGGTCTCAAAGCTAAAGAGCTGCATAATCACCTGTAGAATTGTAATCGTACACATCCCTAGCTACTTAACCCAAGGCATTTGGTTTAGTAAGTTTGGAACACATGTTTAGTATTAGTTCCTTGGAATTTCAGATGTTGATGGTCGAGGGACCACACCACATTAGGATTATTAATGTAGTATAAACAAATTCTGAATCTTGATTGACCATACCAATACAAAGTCTTTTCTCCATCCACCCCCGACTCCATGGCTCTTTTCCCACACTTTCCCTTCTCAAGGCCTCTCATTTTGTTTATATAACAAGAACTGGCATCTTAGGATCTAATACTATCTAACAACTTAGCATTAATGAAGTTCAATTATATTAGATAAGACCATTATATCATCTTCATTGAGCTGCAAGACTATTAAGGCTTATTACCAAGAGGGTTTGAAGTTATCTTCAAATCTTAAAGTGCTAACTGTCATCACAATCAGAAAATTACAACTCTCCTTTCATGTGGCAGACAAAGCTCTCAAAGGGGAGAAAGGAGACATTGAAAGTATCATGTTCATAGATATAGAACATCACAATATTCAGCCATATAACTGTGATACACCTCATGTAAGAGGGCAGTCCTGGCTTAGAGTACTAAAAGGCACATGGTAACAAAATCCTAAGCTTCGGAAAAGAAAGTATGGATAATTTGGCGGTATTATTTTTCTCTGAGAATGAAGAGTTGGGCAAAAGGAAAAAAAAACGACAATATAATTATTTCAAATAAAATCTCTCTTAAATGTTAAATATATCCAGTTTTGATATGAGTGCCCACAGCTCACTATGATCTGAAGAACAACTTTTTAAGTATAATTTTAAACTTTTAATTTAATTTAGAAGTGGATACTTGCATCAGAAGAATTTTGTGGAGAACAAATTTGAAATAATCAATTGTTCCAATCCCATGATTTACATTTATACAAAATACCTTTTATCCTTTCCATTTGTGCATGAGTTAGTATCAAGCCTTCAATTTTCCTAATTTCCCATCTCTAAGCTTCAAGCATGCCAGAATTACTAACACAGAGAGCATACTATATCTAAATGGGGTGGCATGGCGGTTGTAACAGTACTGCCAGTGTTGTGGTGGGGACCACTGTCTTTGGTAGTTTTGTGATTATTCTGTTTTGCCCCTCAGGTTTTCTCCCTCACTAGACTACAACAAGCCTTGTTTCATTTATTTGTTGCTTTTTGTTTTCAGTGATGGTAACTAAACTATAGACTAGTGGAACCTATTAGGGAAGTGATTGGTTATAAAGCCCTATCCCAGAACTGAACTACAGCCCTTCTCAAATCCTGTCCTTTCCTCACTAACTCTGACATACCACATTGTCATATTTTGACTCCAGCAAGGCTCACTAATTCATTGTCCCTAATTTGAAGAAGAAAATCATCTGACTTTTAGCTCTTAATTTAAATCCTTCACAGATATGAAAGTGGTTATGTATTAGTAGTTGCTGCTAAATTTTTACTTTAATATAGTCAGTTTGATTCTATATTGCACAAAAACTTAAATATTATAAGGTTATAAACCTGAGAACATTTAGTAAATGAAAAATAAAATTAGTGGCAAATTAAGCTTAATAGTATGTATTTCATGTGATTTGGAAAGAGAGATTTATAATATATACCAATTACATGCTATTTGATTCACAAATAGTCTCCCAGGTAAGCTCATTGTAATGATCATTTTTTATGAATTAAAAAAATATTGTCAATTAGCATGTCTGTTGTTAACTGAGAGTTAGTAATTGTTACTTCTTTTATCAGTCAAAAGGAAATGATTAATTTTTGGTGATTTTTAGCGACCATTTTGAGTTGTGAGATTAAAATGCCAAAGGTTATAAAAAGAATTAGACATGTTCAAACCCTTAACTGCCACAAACTTCAGTTCACAGAACTAAGACGAAATAGCTTAAAATAAATTCAGCTGCAGTTTAAACATATAACATGTTTGAGGAAACGGTTCATTAAGTATTTCAAATTTGCTTATTTCCAAAGAGTGATCGATTGAAAAAAAATGGGTAGACAAGTAGTTTTAGGTTTAGATCAACAGGATACTAAAACATCCGTTCACAGAGTTTGTATAAAAGAATAGTTTGAGTGGGGTATCCTCCTCATAGCAATAAATGTTCTACCAGTTTTGAAGCGGTCCTGCCCCATTGGCTGCTGGGAGTGTGCTTAGGCTGGTGAGCACCACGTGCTCTGAGAGTTTTGATACGTTATCAAAGTTGCTGATCTGAGTGGTCAGGGACTTCCTGCTCTCTGTGCTTGTGCGTCCCCTGGCGAGCCGATCTCCTTGGCGATGATGAACCCCAAGACAACATGAAAAGGCAGCTTTAAATTCCTCTCGAAATTTTCCTGGCAGACCAGAGAGAATGAAAGGAAAGTGAATTACGCATACATAGCTCAACACCTAGTGCGCAGGGTACAAATCAGTTGTTCCCTTGAGCCAAAGCACAGGGAGGTGGGGCATTTTGCATCAATAAAGGAAATAGAGAAAGGATGAACTATTTTCCTATGTAACACTTGGCGTTTGTTTTCTTTCTTTAAAGTCAGAACCCCTGTGTTTCATGTTAGTTTTTACCCTGTAAAACACCGAAGGGCCCTTAGGAAAAGTTTGCACAGACACCTAATTGCTTCAAAAGCAATGAAATGTACATTGTGTCTAAGTAAATAAACAAAGATGTGTTATATTATAAAGATGCTGGTAACGGTAGGAGTTCAACAAAACAGGAAAAAGACATTGGAGTATTTAAGAAAAATCCCCCTTTCACAATCTATGTGTGACGAAATAGGAAAATAAAGCCACTGGAGAAATCTTAGGAAGTCCTCTTAAACTATTAGTGAGATCTTAGGTTTCCAAGAAGATGGAAGGATCACCTTTATTAGACTGAAGCGCGATGCTGGAAACTATTCTCTCTGTGCCTAAGTGACCCACTAGGCTACTGTGGGACCAAGTGTGGTGGCTGTTCACCGGCCTTGGACAATGGCCTGCTCCGACTTGCTAACCTGTTCACGGGCCTCGGACAATGCCCTGCTCCGACTTGCTTAACCTCACACCAGGACTCTGCCTTGCTCTCTGCCTTCTGCTTCTAACCCTTGCCTTCCCACTTCCTTACAGGCTTCACCTGCTCAGTGCAAGGTCAGAGTCTTAGCCCGTGTGCAGTGCTTATTTTAAAAGTGACAAACTTACTTCTAAGAGATAAAATTCGTTGTCCTTTTCTTTTTTTGATACACGAAAATCATAAAAAATTATATTTCTGGATTGTCAGGTGATATTTCAGTAGATGTATGCAGTTATCAAAGCTTAAATGGGATTAAACAGATGCAGCATTTATTACGTATTCATGGCAAAAACACTCCAAATCCTTTGCTTATTTTTTAACTTTTTGAGATTTATAATAGGTCCTTCCATCTGAAATTATCTTCCCATTGAGTCTATCACTACCTATCTGAGACAAATCATGCAAACCAAAAAGTCAATATGAAATTGGAAGACACACACTATTTATTAAATGTACAATAGATTTCCCTCTTATAAAAACGAACATATAGTTATAAATGAAAATAAACAGCCAAGTAATTGAGAAAAAAATAGTAGATAATAGCAGCACAGTTCTGATATGGTCACTTGAAGGTTCCCAAGCTCCAGTGGAGTGTTCACTGTCACAAGAAAACAGATTGGGCCATGCCCCCCTGAAGACCTAGGTGGTATGTATTCACTTACTTACCTTTTTTCCTTCCTTCTTTCCTTCCTTCCTTCCTTCCTTCCTTCCTCCCTCCCTCCCTTCCTCACCTCCTTCCTTCCTTCCTTCCTCCCTTCCTCCCTTCCTCTCCTGCTTCCTTCCTTCCCTCTTTATTTATTGGCAAAACACATTGTTTTTCATTTTACATACTAGCCCATCTATCACTACCCTTCTCCTGCCCCCCAACCTCCTCTTATATCATCCACATCCACTCCTCTGAGTGGGTAAGGCCTTCTTTGGGGAGTCAAAAAAAGTCTGGTATACCAAGTCCCTCCCCTGTATCAAGGCTGAGCAAGGTATCCCACCATAGGGAATGGGCTCGAAAAAGCCCGTTCACGTACCCAGGGTAAGTCCTGGTCCCACTACCAGGGACCCCTTCAACAGATCAAGTCACATAACTGTCACCCACATTCAGAGGGCTTAGTTTGGTCCCATGCAGGATTCCCAGGTGTCAGTGCAGAGTCCATGAGCTTCCACTAGCTCGGCCAGCTGTATCTGTAGTTTTCCCAATCATCATCTTGACCCCTCATGCTCATATGATCCCTCCTCCCTCTCTTTGGCTAAGCACCAAGAGCTTAGCCCAGTGCTTGGCTGTGGATTACTGTTGGGGAAGTCCTGTTATTTGTCAATAAAGTACTGTTGAGCCTATAGAAAACCTAGATAGGAGGGACTAGGAGTCGAGGAGGATTCTGGGAGGAGAAACACAGGAGAGTCGACATGTAACGCCGGGTAAGAGCCCGGAAACCTCTCCGGTAAGAGACATACTTAGATTAACAATTATGGGGTAATTACTTAAAGCAGAGCTAGCCAGTAAGAGACAAGCAAGGCCAACAGCTTCATAATTAATATAGCCTCCTGTGTGTTTATTTGGGACTATTGCGGATCTAGAACCAGGCTGGCGCGGCAGAGCCCAGGCAACTGGCGGGGGATAAACCAAAGCGGCTAGCAAAAGAAAAAGCTTCTCTTAACAGATTACTGCATCTACTTCCATCAGATACTGGATATAGGTTCTATGATGACAATTAGGGTAGTCACTAATGTGATTAAAGGGGAAGGTCAGTTCAGGCACCCTCTTCACTATTGCTAGAAGTCTTAGCTAGGGTCATCCTTGTGGATTCCTGGGAGTTTCCATAGCACCTGGTTTCTCCCTAATCCCATAATGTGTCCCTCATCTCTTTCTTTGCCTCCCTCTCCATCCCTCCCCCAACTGGGTCATCTCAAGTCCTCCTGTTCCCATCCTCAACCCCCTCATTTTTACTTTCCTTCCCAGTTCACCCAGGAGATCTGAACTATTTTCCCTTCCTGGGGCCCTCCATGTGTTTCCCTCTTAGGGTTCTCCTTTTTACCTAGCTTTTCTGGGGTTTTGGTCTGTAGGTTGGTTATCCTTTGCTTTATCTCTAATATCTACTTATGAGTGAGTACATACTGTGTTTGTCTTTCTGGTTCTGGGTTACCTCACTCATGATTTTTTTTCTAGTTCCATCCATCTATTCAGGGCCTGTCATAGCTCAAAGAGAAACTAATTTCTGCATCTACTTCAGAACTGCACCACCCTTGAGGAGAGACTTAATGAAAAAACACTGAAAACTTACCACTAAGGAAATTATAAATGATTGGGTTTGCAGCACTATTAGCATATACAAGCCAATGAGAAAATGTGAACCAAGCATAGACAGTCTCTCTGTCTTCGGTGTGTGTGAACATTCCAAATACCCTGTAGGAAGAGAAACAGAAACAGAAAATCGAGGGTGATCTTTAAATAAGTGAAGCCAAGCTGAACAAAATTCACAGCAATAACCCAGCCCTGAACTCTTTGAGAGGCCCAGTCTCCTGTTAAGAATGGTTTCAGGTACCCATCAGCGAATCAAAAGTTGAATCAGCTCAGAAGAAAAGACTGGAATCAGGAAAGGGAAATCTCTCATGACGAAGATAGAAGCTGAATTTCTCTTCTGTCATCTTGTTTGTAGATGTAATTGACTAACCTTGTTGCTACTCTGCCATGCCCATTCTTTAAAAGTTTATTTTATGTGTATGGGTGGTATCTTCATGTGTGCATGACTGGTACTTACAGAGGTAAAAAGAGGGTGCTGGGTCTTCTTTAACTGGAGCTACCAATGGTGGTCAGCAGCCATGTGGGAACTGAAACCTGGTCCTCTGGAAGTTTAATCACTGTTTTTACCTACTAAACCATCTCCCCAGACCCATTGTACGTATTTCAACTAACAGTCCAATTTTTGACTGCTAAATTCTTCCTACTTTCACTTCTGCACTGATGAATGTATATTTCCTCAATCCAATGCTTCCAGCCTTGTTGAGAATTGTCATGAATCTCTGTACACAGGCAATAACTGGTTTTCCATGGGTAAGATTCTGATAGTCCTTAGGTACATGAGTTTCATGCTTTCATATATTATGGTAAACTAAAAAAAATGTATTTCAGTACCATCAGAGGCCAATGATTTTAAGGTGGCTCCTGAAAAGATTCAGACTAGTCCTCCTGTCAAGATTTTGGGTTCCATGTTATCTCTTGATACTGTCTCTGCTGTTAAACCCCAACTTCACATTCAGGATTTTTATACCTTGCCCCAGCTCCAAAAGACATTGGGGGAAATTAATTGACTGAGGCTCTGGATTTCCATAACTACTGAGGACTCCTACAAATTGACTCCTTTGTTTGACCTCCTAAAAGGTCATGATCTCTCCTTACAGATAATTCTACCTGCTGATAACTTACAGATTTTAAATAAAGTTGAACAGACAATAGACAGAGCAACCTTAAGGAGGTATGATCCTCTTTTGCCCCTCACCCTTTACGTTTTTCCTGGGGAAACTTTATGTACTGCCTTGTTAGCACAAGAGGGTGAGCTCATACATCGGATTCACCTCTGGATTGGTGGCGCCCCAGAGTCTATTCAATAACCAATCATATTGCTGATCATTGTTAAGGGCAGGGACAAATCTGTCCTGCTGTTTGGCACAGAACCTCATTTTATGGTAACTCCCTTTAAGACAACAGATTCCACCTGACTTCAGAGAAACAATAGCAGAATTGCTACGGCTCTTGAGGGGTTTCTGGGTACAGTTGATTGTCACTAGGATCCACACAAATGGATGAGCTCCTTCTCTAGGTTAGAATGGAGGCCCCCCAGACTATTTTTACCTCACCCCAACCCTGGCTTTCTTACCGTGTTTACTAATGGGGGTGCCTGGGGGATTCTTTAGTCATTTACCCTCCCTTAGAACATGGTAAAGACCAGTGCCCATAAAGTCAGTTGAGGGGTCAGCACAATTTAAGGAACTGTTTGCTGTTGTTCTTGCATTAGACACTATTCAAGAGTCGTTTAACTTAGTCTCTGACAGCCTTCATGCTGGTAATTTGTTACCCAACCTAGTTGAGACCCATATTAAGCAGGACTCCAATCCTAGACTGCCTCTAGTGATTCAAGCCCGCTCCCTACTCAAACCAAGAAGTAACCCCGTTTTTCTTCAGCATCTCAGGAGTCATCAAAATTTACCAGGATTTCTCTCTGAAAGAAATAATTTGGCTGATAAATTGGCTTCTATGCCTCAATGTAATACTGTTACAGAAGCTACACGCTTCCACCTACTGGCCCATGTTAACTGGAGGGGTCTTAAACACAAGTATCCACTTGTGCCAGTCAAGGACCTTAAAAAGACTGTCTGAACTTGTAAGTCCTGCCAGCCTTTCCTTCAGATACCCCCCTCCAAACTAGTGGAAACAACCCTCGAGGGCTTCGTCCTAATAATCTTTGGCAAATTGATGTTATTCATTATTCTCCATTTGGAAAGTTAAAGTATATCTTTCTCTTGGTTGATACCTTTTCCCATGCCTGCTGGGCATTGGCATATGCTGGGGAAAAAGCTAAACATGCTATTAGCCATATGCTTCAATGCTTTGCCACCGTTGGATTGCCTGATCAGATTAAGACAGATAATGGCCCATGCTTTGTAAGTAGGGCCTTTATGGACGTCCTTAAGACTTGGAACATCTCAAACTCCACAGGCATCCCATAAAATCCTCAGGGTCAAGTAGTTGTGGAAAGATATAATCAAGTTCTCAAATCTCAATTACAAAAACAAAAGGGGGAATCTATACCCCCACATGTTCAATTAAAAAGGGCATTATTCACCCTACATATTTTAAATTTTTCTAAAGAAAATAAATACCTGTCTCCATTTCAAAAACATTGGTCCTCATCGGTTACCCACAGTTCTATTTGGGTCAGATGGAGGGACCCATTGACAGGGGTCAGGAGAGGATCAGACCCCCTTCTCTCAGCAGGGAGAGGATTTGGATGTGTCTTCCCTCAAGATGAAAAAAGACCCATTTGGGTAACAATGAGAGGCCTAAAATATTTGCCCGACAAGGGGACAATGACCATCACTTCTCCAGGGAATGCTCCACTCCTGAGAACTGTGTCTGTTTCCCCCCAGGAACAAATGAAGATGTGGGTGATGCTGCTCTTCCTGGTAACAATGATGCTCATCCTGCCCAGTGATGGAGGATTTGGAAACCCACATGACGCCAAAGTTATCCTGGCTCACCTGATGGGAAAACCCTGTGACTACCAGGGTGGAATATACTCGGTACATGGGTCATACAACAGGTAGATTGTGATACCAAGACAGCAGTCAATATGATTGACACATCAGGATCCCTTTTTTCAAATTCCAATAAGTGGATATGCATAAAGAAGCCCAAGATTATTCCCCAGGTTGATGGGAAGCCAGGACCCTGTCCTTGCACCGTTTTCTATCCGACAATGCATTTGGCCTGCTATGGCATTGCCCAAATGTGCACCAGTAGTTCCACTAAAAGGACTTATTGGACTGGCCAAAGAGACGGAATCTTTGTAGATGGTTACAGCACCCTTGTCTGACTCTAGACAAACCTACCTGCTCCCAAGGTCCTCAGCTGTGAGGAATACGATACTGACGCCGACTTTGGGAAAAGGGACAGGAGCAATTCCAGATTAAGTTCCAAATTTGTTATAACAGAATTAGGGTCGCGTTGGGTCCAGTCTTGTGCCATGGGTTTGATATTTCCTAATGAATCTAGCTATTCACGTCACTCATCAAAAATTGTTAAATTTCATTGCTTTGTCTAAAGTATAACAAATTTCGCACTAATGCCAACTGTAAAAATATGCTATATGTTATAGTTATATATTAATATGTAGCATATATAACATAATATGTTATATTACATTATATTAACATAACATACATATGTGATATTCGCATCGATACTGAAATTATTCCAATGACTTCAAGAAACGGACATTCTTCTCTCGGTTTAATGTTCAACACAAAATATCTGTCTCACTGCTTCTTGTTTATTGCCCCAAACAAAGTATTCTTATCTCTTTTTTATTCTCTCCAAATCTTTTAATAGAAAGGATTGTATTGTGTTTGTTTATATATTTGAGAACAAAGTTGGAAAACCCATTTATTCTCATGAAAGAGAACTCAGAATTGTAGTTGATTTTTATTTATTTATGGAATTAGTTACTGAAACACAATTTTTATTGGGATGTTTTCTCCATCTAAGGCTTAGCAGTCAACCTCAAGATGTTAGTTTGGAAAGCGTCTGTTTCATCTGCCATTCAAGTGAGACTCTTCACTGACCGAGCAAGAGTGTTTGCTGAGCATTCTAGAGGGCTAACGTTGCCTTAGGTGCTTTGACAACTACATCACTGAGTTGGCTGGCCAGATAAAGTATCTGTTTAGAAAGAAGAGAGTTCTTAATTGAATGTCAAGTTGCTTCATTTTCACATAAATACACGGTCTTTACCTCTTTAGCATATTGAGGATGCTGATTGGTAGATAGCAAATTGCAAAGACCAGAAGTACAACCATGAGCATCCGGGCTGTTTTCCTTCTGGCTCGGATCTGCTTTATCTCAGCAGCCACAGCGCTAATCCGGGCCTTGCTCGGCTGTCCAGACCCTCGGGGCTGAGTAACCGGCTGAGGCTGCTTCCATTTTCTCTGAACCACAGATGAAGTTCCTGGAATCTGAAAGGAGACGGGATCCCTCATTGGTACTTTGCAAAATTCCGCATAGAAGTAAAGATTAAGAAACAGAAGTTTGGAGTGTAGAATTCCCATCTTTCAGGAGCACTGGCCTGGCTGTGTGTTCTTAGCATTCATCTAGTCAAATGACAAATAGACGTTTGCGTGGGAAAAAGTTAAAAACAAGCTTTTGTGGTTGTTGTGTTAAAGCATGCCAAGCTCTAAGGAGAACAACAGAAAATGCAAGCCCTTATTCAAAAAGAGAAGTAAAATATGGAGAGGAGAATACTGAGAAAATTCCGACTATAAATTTTCATTATAAATTCTAGATTCAGGTGTCAACTAAGTTTAAGTACTCATCAATTTACGGGACCGTACATACAGACACACAGACAGACAGACAGACAGACAGACAGACACACACACACACACACACACACACACACACACATACACACACACACACACAGAGCCCAAACCCAAAAAACTAATGAATTTTTGATGCATCGATACTGCCATCTGCTGTCGTATGGAGATATAGCACCCAACCAGCTTTTAGCTTTTCTAAAAATGAGGTTTTGTGCCTCTGATTTAGACAAAGATAAATCTATGTATAGAGGGAACGAAAACAAACTATTCTTCGTGATTTAATGTTCGCATTTACAAAATTGCCTGAAACTAATTTTGCAATTTGTCCTTCCAGAAAGCATACACATACACTGAGAATCCTTCCAGGTCTTACACTAATATTCCAAAAAGCCACAATTTGTAGCAATTATGTTATACAATATGCTTCTCCTTTGATTTTTCAGTTAGTTGATAGTAGCAGGAAGTTCTGCCAAGTATAATATTTTTTAATTGTAACCTATGAAAATTGATAGACTTTAGCAAAATATTAAAATCCAGCATGCACCTTTTTCTTTGTTGATAAGATGTGCCAATAAGTACACCACCACAGCTTGATTTTGTTACAGTTATTCAGCTGTTACTTTCATCTTTGTGCTGCATTCTGCACAGAGCAGTGTGTTCCTGTGGCCCCTCAGAATGAAGGTTGCATGGAACCCGTGACTGTTTACACTACAAGATCAAAGTCAGTTAGAAAATCTTTTCATTTGAGAATAGAGTTTTCTTTGATGTCCACACAGATGGAGTCTCATTACATGAGACCCCACTTGACCATATTCTCAGCTAAAGAGATCAACGATGCAAAGGAAAACCTGCCCTGCAACAGAAACCCCTCACAGTTGGGCAGGGGCGTTTCACCAAACCGCTGTTGGGAGACATACAGCTAAAAATTCTCCCTCTTCTGTGGTTCTCTTTTTAAAACTTTAGAACAGTTATTCAACTTTTATTTTATGCATATGAGTGTCTTTCTCTCTTGTATATCTGTGCACAGCATGTGTGCCCGGTGCCTGCATAGGTCAGAAAAAGATAATGGATTCCTTGGAATTAACTGGATAGTTGTGAGATGTGACATGGGTGCTGGGAATTGAACCTAGGTCCTCTGCAAGAGTAGCCAGTGCTCTTAACTGCTGAGCATCTCTCCAGTCTGTGAATCTCTCTTTCAAAAGTAGTTTTAGAAATGACTTTTGTAGAAGTGGCAATGGACTTAAAAAGTTCCAGAAGAATTCTATCACAAAAGCTGCTAAGTACCTGTGAAGTGATCTTGAAGTGGTTTCTAAATCAAACCATACAGATCATTCTATTTTTGAATGTTCCCAGGAAGGAGAGAAATAATATTCTGCCCGGCGACTTCTTCAAGTAACAAAAACATTCCATTAAAGAAAATCTGCCACAGCAGGCAGAGTTGTGGCCCTTGCAGTGAAAAGAAAGAGAAATGTGGCAATGCCACTTTCAGATAGGGACCTGAAGGCAGAAGACGCTTAATCCTTTAACTCATTCTCCACTTGTAAACAGTACAGAGAACCCGAGCAGCCCAAGGAGACAGCAGAAAAAGATTCATTAGGAGTCATTACATCAGCTGACACTCAACATTTGCACATAACCCCAAGTCATGCTGAATGTGTCCTTAAAGGTAAATTGTTAATGTCATTTTATAAATTTTGATCGAGAAGATACTAAGTAGACTATTTCAGATCATATCTTTAATTTGTATGGAACTTCAAAACACATTCCTTTTTAATTGTAAAAAGTTTCCTTTGGAAATTTTACGTACAAGAGAGTAAGCAGCTTTTGTGTGTATGTTTATATGCATGTATGTGTTCAGATGTGTGTGTGTGCCCAGCTTTGTTTGTGTGTATGTGCATGCACATGAACTACAGGTCAGAAGACAATGTGGGCTGGAATTCCTTAACTGATACCCATTTTATTCTTTAGTCAGGGGCTCTCATTGTCCTGGAACTTGCCAGGTGGGCCGCTAGTTAACCTTAGGGAGCTTCCTGGCTCTTCTTCTCAAGCACTGGGATTGCAAGTATGTTCTAACGTTATCCAGATTGTTTGCATGACTTTTGGAGTATTAAAGTCTTGTCCTCATGCTTGCAAGACAAGTAATTTGCAGACTAAGCTATTGAATCTTGAAATTTTGAATGCATGCTTTATTACATGAAAGTAGCAATTATGATATAAAAGGATCAGAAAAGGTAAATTCCAAGGGTTTGTCCCTATGGAAGTTCTTTCACCAATATGTCACTGAGGGATCCAAAATATCTAACTATGGAAATCAGGCCACAAGTATGACATGTTCATTGTCAGGGACTTCTGGCCATCAACCAGGTATGGCTGCCTCATGTACTCATAAGAAAAGACCCTCATAGAAAGTACGTGACTTGGGACCACTCTGCTACCTGCCAAATTCTAGAAACAAACCTGCGGCTTATCTAGGGCGTAGGCTTAAACAATAGAAGGTGGAGTGTGAAAGATAAAGTTAGAGTCTGTAGTTATGTTACCATAGGACATAGGATGCCCTACCTGTTGGGGAAGTCCTGTGTATATGTCAATAAATTACTGCTGGCCAATAGGAATCTAGATAGGTGGGGCTAGGAGTCCAGGAGGATTCTGGGAAGGAGAAAGACAAGAGAGTCAACATGTAACGCCATTGGGGGTAGGAAGCCTGGAACTATTCTCCGGTAAGTGACATACTTAGATTAACAATTATGGGGTAATTACTTAAAGCAGAGCTAGCCAGTAAGAGACAAACAAGGCCAGCAGCTTCATAATGAATATAGCCTCCTGTGTGTTTATTTGGGACTGATGCGGATCTAGAACCAGGCTGGCGCGGCAGAGCCCAGGCGACTGGTGGGGGATAAACCAAAGCGGCTAGCAAAAGAAAAAGCTTCACTTAACAGAATGGTGTCAGGAGTGGGATCATGAATTTCCACGCAAAATAACAAAAGCTTTAAAGGAATTTTAGAAACAGAAGAACAGAGAGAAGCACAGATTATTGGTAGCAGCATTTTTCTCAGGTGTGCTCTGTTTTGCTATTGACAAGCCGAGATTCACGTGGCTCGTTTACCGGAGTCTTCCTGACTCAGCATAAAAAGAAAAAAAAAAACAGCAAGGTTGTTTTAAGAGACTCTGTTACTGATTGAAAGGGGTGTACGTACAGCTGGAAGTGGCAGCTTTTTCTGGAGGTCAGCATGGACTGAGGCTGTAAGCTGCAATCACGCTTATGCCTGCCATCTTGAAACAGCAGTTTAAAACAGCCGCGGTTTTACAGATAAGACACGTGGCCAGAAAAACATAAAGATTTACAGTAAAGTCAGACTTGGATAAAGAAAAACTTCTAGAGGTTTACAGTGTGTTTAAAAATATATGTGAGATTGAGAGAGAAACTGAAACGACAAAGTGGTAAATAAATACAAAAGCCGGCGTTGTGGATTGCTCCAGAGGCAGAGGCAGGCAGGTTTCCAAAGAGAAACCCTGTCTCCGAGAAAAATAAATAAAAGTGAAAGAAATAAAGTAATAATAGATAAATAAATAAGCCACGTAAAGATGGAAAATACACAGAGAGTCTGGATACTGTACGCTATTGTGTTTTTCAGTTTTTTGCTTGCTCAGGAAGGAACTGCTGATAAAGTACACTTGATTATAAATGCTGCTGAATTAATCCAACTTCTATCTTTTAAAAATGCCTTGACTTCAAAATTTAAGTGTAAGGATATGTTACTTGGAAAAGGAGTTTTTATTTATGTTTCTACAGAAAATGAAAAGCTAAGGATTCCTTCCAGGCTTTTGTGGTTTGACGAACCAAGACCCCCGGAAGCAGTGGACCAGGTGTTCCAACAATCAAAACAGCGAAGATGATGCAGTCTTACAGACCCCGAAAATATGGACTTATACAGGTTTCTGAGTTTTGTCATGATCCCCATGGTATGAACAGCGCCCCCTTCCAGCAGGAAGCAGTTTGGAATGAGCGACATCACAATTCCCATCTTGTTTATAAATCTTTGTTTTCATTTAAATGGGATTGTTTATAATTGGCTAATGATCACAGCCAATCTTTTTTAATGGCAAAAAAGGGAATTATGGTATGGGTATTGTTTTTCATTTATTGAGACAAAATCAAGGTCAATTTTGTGATGCTTATATTTCTCCTCTTGATTAAGTATTGTGCTTATACTGATCTTTTACAACGTAATGCATAATTGAATACAGACTATAGATAGTTACTTATAATAGAATTTCTAGTTACATAAGTTAGGTTTCTAGATATACAAAAATATATTTGAGATGGACAGTCTTCAAACCTCTCAAAGACCTTCAGAACATGGCATTTAAAAATGGTTTAGGGTTTTTCTTGACAATGAGAAATGTCTGCTCCTGGCAGCACCAATTATGAGAGGAAAATGGGCATCGAAGAAACTCGTTATAAAGTTTGCTTTCAACATGGCAAGATTAGCCATTTGGGCAAGAAACTGCTCTTGCCTAGACTGACTGTTGTTGTATCATCTGGACATGCAGGACCCACAGGAAAGTGACTACTGAACTCAGTCTTACAGGGTTCCTGCTTGATGAAGAGTCTAGGAGACTTTCTGCAGGACAAA